TCATTCACTAATTTTTTAACGCCAATTTCTTGACGTACTTTTCTTATCTTTGCCTGACCACGGTGAACTGGTCATATCGAAGCTAGGGTCGGGCTTGTTATCACTCATACTTCCTCTTCATCAGTGTGATCCCCGAGGATTGGCTCGACCGCATAAATCTCCCCTTTTGTCTGTAAGTGCGGCAGTGCTCAATAGTGTCGATTGGATATCTCTACCTGATGTAACGCCTCACGTTGAAGGTAGCACTCGAGTAGGTCTTTACGAGGTTGTATTATACGGCACTATGTATTTAATCTACTGTTGAATTGTGCCATCTCTTGAACGGATCACATGTTCTTCCTGTTGCCTTTAGTAGACGGCACTTGTTGATCGTATTCGCGATCACCGGTAAGGCTAACATATTTGCATACGAACATACGACTGTCAACATATTTCCACACATTATCGTAATACCACAATGCGTGGAAATGTGTTGTAGTTCTACAGTAGTATGCAAGTACTTCTCTCCCTAGTCCTATTTGCATCTTTACGAGCTCTGGTTGTCCGTTATTGCTCGAGGTTGATGGATGTCTCATATTCTCAATTCTGTGACAGAAGTCTACAATTCTGTTGTAACGACGTGTCAATGGCGAGTCTCGGGACAAGGCTCAACGTGGTGAAACAAGTCGCATTCGAACGGACATTTCTCAGTGAGATCCCCAGTCTCCTATTCTCGCGTCTCAAGTGAGTTGTCGAGCCTCCTCGATTGCCCTAGCTCTATGTCTACCGCACGTAGTGCGTTGAAAAGGCAGTCCTCAGTTGACAGTCCTGTTCCCTTCAATGTGTGCACAGTATTGGCCGCACTCAAACGATGGTGGGCTCCCCCCCCCGCTTTGGTCGATCTGTGCACAGTCATATCGATGGAGTTGTTGCCTTTTGAAGACTCCGTGCGTCCACAATCTGATTGCTAAAAAGATGCTCGGTGAACCGTCATGTGATGTGGAAATCAGTTTCTATGCTGCGTGTCTCGTTCTGGGTTAATCCCTGTTGAGTTCTTGCTCATAGCAGTCTAGTTACCGTCTTCTCCTCATGCGATATTGTACCCCCATCGTTAATTGGCTCGACCTCGTCAAGCGGCTGGCATGGGTTATTGGTAATACTAGGGAGTGGAAGGGGTCCTCGTCAATCATCAATACCCAGCGCTTTATCTCTAATTTTTCTTTGTAATATGATAGCGTCAGTACACAACGTAGCGTTCGATTCCTCGGTATTAATCTTGTTGGGTTTGATCAGGTGTATCACTCCTGTTGGTCGCATGGATGACTGCCGAAGCCTTAGGTCTCTCTCCATGGTTGCAATACACTTTATTGGCTTTATTTATCTTCCTGGTGAGCACTCAGCTTTGGTCGTGTCTTCAGGCTTACTTTAACTCAGGTTGCTGTTCCTGTATTATTCGCTGCATGGACGGTAATAAGGTCTCTCCACTTTTCAGTTGTGCTCACTGCCAACGAGTGCAGTAAGGTGGCTGATATAATCTACAAGAAGTCCACGAAAGAGGTGTTCGCGCCCTATGTGGACGACTGTGCTGTATGTCTAGAACGCTGGGAGAAAGGAGAAACTTTAGCGGAGCTTCCTTGTGGTCACATGTATCATCGTTCTTGTGTCCGAGCGTGCATCTCGGGTTCGATC